AGATAACACTCTGTAGTTGTTCTATATTCGAATAGTCTTTTGAAACTGTTTCACAGTCAGAAGGAGACTTGAAGCTTTTCAATATCTAGTAGGCTTTTTCAACATCTTTAAGACAATATCTACTGAAGCTTTTCTAGAGGTGGAAGAAGTACTGAAGCGTTTCTATGCCTGTAAGAGCTTCTGAGCTGTAAAGCTCTTCTAAAGTCAGTTTAAAGGTTTTCCATAGCCGAATAGTCTTCTGAAGCTGGTCCACAGTCTGAAGGCCACCTGAAGATTTTCAATATCTAGTAAGCTTTCTGTAACTCTTCTATTGCTAGGAAACCTTCCGAATGTCTTTCATGCCTTGAAGGCCATCTAAAGCTATTCTATAGACAAAAGACGCTCTGAAGCTCTTTTATGGCTATTGTCGGTTTTCTATTGATAAAATATATTCTTAGGGCCTACCCATGGATATGATTGTCTTCTATGGAAGATGGTTTCATGAAGGTCCTCATGATGGTCTCCTATTGATTTAAGCTCTTCTGAAGATCTCCTATAGTTAGAGATAAAATACCTTTTATAGGTCTGCTGTACATAGAAGAACTTCTATAGGTCTTCTTTACAGAAATTATGTTCTGAAAAACTTCTAGAGACAGTCCTTCCAGAGAGCTCTTATTTGAAAAAGACCTCCAATTACAAAAAACAAAAAAACTATTGAAAGATTCCACAGATTAGTTTTATGAATAATATTAAATAACCGATTCATACACATTATTCCAGACCCATCTGTTGCCATGCATTAATTCTGTAAATATGAAGAGCGCAGCTTCAAAAATATTCTTCACCACAATTGACGACGACAAGTTGATGACGAAATCAAGACAAATTGTTTTTTCATTTGGGGAACTCCCAGATTTCGGAAATGACCATCAAAACGAGAACACTAATTGGAAAAAATTTCACAGGGCCTCCAACTCAAAAGAATATTTTTTGCCAGAACAAAGCCACAAAAAGACAATTCACATACGAGTTGTTTACTTAGCCAGGTGAATTAAGACACAAACAATTTGACAACAACATCAACAACTACTACAACAACACCTACCTCGGTAAAATACCAAGCTGCCAGTGCGCATGTTTAAACGTTCTGCTCAACATCCAACTAAAGTCGATTAAGATACAATAAAGAAGTGAAGAATACCGTACGTGTTCGGCATAGCATCCATCCACCTTCTTGCAGTGGCCGGTGCCGGTGCTAGGGGTGGGGTTGTTTGTACAATGAGTAAGCCATTAGATGTTGATGGGAATTTCAATTTAATCCAATGGGTAATGTACCACGACACACCGTCGTACCGCGGCAGTGAGAGAAGATCTATTTAAACGATATCAGATACCTGGAATACTTTGATGGGTGGAATAACCTCTCTGCAAATGATGGTAAATCCGATATGTCTGTCTGTCCGTCTGTCGGAGATATTAACAACAATTTAAATAATATTTTCGTTTTTTATTAACATGATTAATATTTCAAATAAATGTTTGAATAAGCTATTTTTGGAAGGGAGGGACTTTACTTCCGCCATAAAATAAAAAAAAATCTGACATTGTTACAGGTTTCAATTAAATCTCTTTTGGGAGTGTTTGAAAATTAACGAAGTAGTTGGGAATATGAGTGAAATTTATAATACATAGACAAACAACACTCTGATAGCTTCCTGGAAATTCTGAAGGACGATCAAACCTTAAATGCAGATTTTTTAACGAATGTTTTTTTAAAGACCACCAGGGCAGTGAATCTTGATTTTTTAAAGAATATTTTTGGATGGATTTAAAAAAAAAACTTAAGACGGTCCTCCATCCAAGTTTTATATTTATGGGAGACCTTCAGTTGGTTCTCTATTTATGGAGGACCTACAAAGAGTCTTCTCCAAAAATCCATATGAGATTTTCATAAAGTCTTCTATCTGTAGAATCCTTCAGAAGATCCTATTTCCAAAGGAGAATCGTGGACGGTCTTTTATTTATAGAAGAAGAAGGTGCTATACCCAGTGGAAACATTTAGAAGGACTGTTATATACATGATACTTTCGGAAGGTCTTCACGGATCCTACACAATTTTATTTTTAGAAGACCAAAAGGTCTTTTATCTATAGGAGATTTAAAAAGTAGAGAAGGTACCCTTCGAATGGACATATAGCCATAGAACCCCTTCCGAATATGTGAGATCGGCGGAAGGTCTTTAATTTTTAGAAGGCCTTCTGAAATTCTTTTATCTATAGGAGGCCGCCAGAAGGTCTTTTATCTCTGGTATAGAATGGCGTCTGTTTTCAACAACAATTTCTGTAAAAAATCTTGCTATAGTTTTTACATTTTTACATTCGGGAACAGACCAAATATTTTCTGCAGAAGATATTGTTATCGACACTATTTTTTATAGAAATTTGTGTAATGTCGGTTATCGACCATATTTTCTGAAGATAATTCTGTAATCGACAATATTTTCTATAGATAATTCACACATTTAAAATTGACTCCTGTTATCGGCAATATTTCTTACAGATAATCCTGTTATCGACAAAATTTTTTGTGCAAAATCCTGTTACTGACAATATTTTCTATTGAAAATCCTGTTATCGACAATATTTTCTATAGGAAATTCTTTTATCGACAATATTTTCTATAGGAAATCCTTCTAACGACAATATATTATGTAGAAAATCCTATCATCGATATTGTTTTTACATTATCGTCATTATTATCGATATTATTTTTTATAGATACTCCTATTATCGATAGATATATATTATAGATAATCCTTTTATCGCCAGTATTTTTATCGACAATATTTTCAATAAAAAACTCCTCTTATCGACAATATTTTCTATAGAAAAATCTTGTTATTGACAATATTTTCTATGGAAAATCTTGTTATCGACAATATTTTCTATGCAAAATTTTGTTATCGATAATAGTTTCTTTAGAAAACCTTGTTATCGATAATATTTTCTATAGAAAATCTTGTTATCGATAATATTTTCTATAGAAAATTCTGTTATCGACAATATTTTTTATCAAAAATGTTGTCGATAACAGTTTATGTAGATAATCTTGTTATCGAAAATATTTTCTATAGAAAATCTTTTTATCGACTATTTTCTATAGAAAATCTTGTTATCGACAATATTTTCTATAGAAAATCTTGTTATCGACAATATTTTCTATAGAAAATCTTGTTATCGACAATATTTTCTACAGAAAATCCTGTTATCGACAATATTTTCTACAGAAAATCCTGTTATCGACAATATTTTCTACAGAAAATCCTGTTATCGACAATATTTTCTATAGAAAATCCTGTTATCGACAATATTTTCTATAGAAAATCCTGTTATCGACATATTTTCTATAGAAAATCCTGTTATCGACAATATTTTCTATAGAAAATCCTGTTATCGACAATATTTTCTATAGAAAATCCTGTTATCGACAATATTTTCTATAGAAAATCCTGTTATCGACAATATTTTCTATAGAAAATCCTGTTATCGACAATATTTTCTATAGAATATCTTTTTTCTTTTAGAAAATCTTGTTATCGATAATATTTTCTATAGAAAATCCTGTTATCGACAATATTTTCTTTAGAAAATTTTGTTACCGATAATATTTCCTTTAGAAAATTTTGTTATCGATAATATTTTCTTTAGAAAATCTTGTTTTCTATGGAATATAGAATCCTGTTATCGACAAAATTTTTTATAGAAAGTCTTGTTATCGACAATATTTCCCATGGATAATTCTGTTATCAACATTGGTTTCCATAGAAAATCCTGTTATCGATTATATAGCAAATCTTGTTATCGACAATATTTTCTACAGCAAATCTTGTTATCGAACAATACTTTCTTTAGAAAATCTTTTTATCGACAAAAATTTATTTAGAAAATCTTGTTATCGACAATGTTTTCTATACAAAATCCTTATATCGACATTGTTTTCTGTAGAATATCATGTTATCAACAATATTTTTTATAGAAAATCATGTTACCGATTATATTTTTAGGGAATATCCTGTTATCGATTTTTTATAGAAATTAATGTTATTGTCGATATTATTTTTTCCATAAAAAATCTTCTTATCTTTGGTCTGTTCCAGAATCTGAGAGAATCTACTAGTTTTGCAAATTTCTCCGATATCATAAAGGAAAAATCGGTTATCGTGGTAAAAACTTTTACATTCTTGCAGTTCTGGAATAGATCACATGATATCACAATATTTTTTGTAGAACTTATTGCTATCGATAATATTTGGCAGAAGTCCTATTGAAGATCTTCTACTTATAGGAGGCTGTCAAATGCAAACCGACTATAATAGACCTTCCACTTAGAAGGTCTTCTACAGATACCCTATTTTTAGAAAATCTCGTTGAAGTATTTATATTGTTCTGGGAATTCCCCATGTGTCACACGTCACAGAGTTTATAAAACTCTACTCGAATTTAAGATTTTTCCCATTTTTTTGCTTTTGTTGTTGTTGTCTGTTTATTTGACATAAAAGTTAGTCAAGTGTGGGATACTTAATGATCATTTCATGTTTTCTTTACTTTTATTTTCATCGGTTGTTTGTTTGTTTATTTGTCGTCACTCTTTCGTAGAAGACAATGAACGTTTTCAATGTTAAGTTCACGATTAACTGAAAAAACAAAAACAAAAGCAAAAAATGGGACATTATTAAAGTTGGTCTTAATTTTTTAAAGACATGCGATGTTCAAAAAGAGAAAAAAATTCCATGTGATTTTGGGGAGTCGCTATGAAAAGTTGACATACAGGTGGTACTCTATAAAGGGGATATAGTAGGGTTGGACGTAATTTGTACCCAAAAGAGAAGTGTTTTTTCCTCTAAGGGCGATTTTGAAGGTTAATGGGGTGTTATCGATTCCCAAAAATTTGATTTTAAAAAAGAAGTATGCCTTCTATGGAGGTCCCACTGTACCATGTATTAAATCATTAGTGCAAATATGATTAAATCTCCAGCGATATTAAAAATGAAAATTTTCAAATTATAGAATATGCTATGAATTAGGTCAGTAACCCAGGTTCGTAAAATACGCCATGCCATCCATGGTGGCAATGGGACTTTTTCAACATTGTGTGAAGTTCGTTTATTCAGTGATGAATGAATTGCTGCATGCCGGAAAATTTTGAGAATATTTCCGCTCTATTGTTGTTGAAAAAAAATATGAAAAAATGACTAAAATAAAGTAGGGTGATTAGATGATCTGCCACATAATGAAAAGGTGAGAGATTTGTTTGCCAAGCAAATAGTACAAATTGTTTACCCGGGAAATATGCTAGACTAGAAGATTTCTTATAAAATAGCTGGAGATAAAGAAGACGTCAAGCAGTGGACAAACAGCCATTGATCTAAAGTGTTCGACAATTCTAAAACAACTATGGCAGCAAAGGTGAGAATCCTTTCTTAGATTCTTAAAATATTTTATTCTAAATTTTCTGTTTCCAGATTATCATTGTATGTGTGGCCTTGGCCGTAATTTCCCAACTCAGCCGGGCTCAACAGCAACCGAAGGCGGAGGGACGCAGTTTTGGTTTGGGTGGAGCGCCTGTATTTGCTCCCCCATTAATTGGTGGAGGAGGACGGGGTTATTATGGCTCCTATGGCCAGAGCAATTCGTTTAGCAGCAGTTCCAGTTCGAATGCCTATGGACAGTTTGGTAGCGCATATCCCGGTTTTGGTGCCTATCCTGGTCCCGTAGGTTATGGTGGTTATCCTGGTTATGGCGGTTATGGTGGTGGTTATGGACTGGCAGGTTATGGCGGTTACAATGGCTACAATGCCTACAACAGTTACAGTGGCTATAATGGTTATGGCGGTGGCTCTGCGTACGGTGGCTATCCCGGTTATGGTGGCCTTTATGGTGGCGGTGCTTTCGGTAAACGTTAATGAAACTAAAGTGTTGTTAAATATTTAATTTAAAGAAGAAGAAGAAAAAATAATTGAATAAATATTGTTAAGTTTTTTGTAGAAAATTATTTGACCCTGAGGTGGCGTTTGAAATTGGGTTGGGAGATTTGTGGTAAAAATGTTGAGAAATAATGTTAAAAAAAGTTTTTACCGTCGGCAATATTTTCCACAGAAAGTATTGTAATCGAAAAAATTTTCTCAAGAAAATGATGTTATCGATTATATTATTTATAGGAAATGCTGTTATCGATAATGATATCTATAGAAAATACGGCTATTGAAAACATTTTTATAGAAAATTTTGTTATCGAGAATATTTTCTACAGAAAATATGGTTATCGACAATATTTTCCATAGAAAATATGGTTATCGGTATTATTTTCCATAGAAAAAAGTGTTATCGACAGTATTTTCTGTAGAAAATATGGCTTTCGTCAATATTTTCTATAGAAAATATGGTTATCGACAAAATTTTCTATAGAAAGTATGGTTATCGACAATATCTTTTACAGAAAATATGGTTATCGACAATATTTTCTATAGAAAATATGGTTATCGGTACTATTTTCCATAGAAAAGTTTGCTATTGACAGTATTTTCTATAGAAAAAATTGTTATCGGTAGTATTTTCTATAGAAAAAATTGTTATCGGTAGTATTTTCTATAGAAAATATTGTTATCGACTGTACTTTCAATAGAAAATCATGTTATCGATAGTATTTTCCAAAAAAAAATTTGTTATCGACAATATTTTTATAGAAAATATTGTTATCGACACAATTTTCCATAGTAAATCCTGTTATCGACTTTATTTTCTATAGAAAATCCTGTTATCGACAATATTTTCTAAAGGAAATCTTGTTATCGACAATATTTTCTAAAGGAAATCTTGTAATCGACTGTATTTTCTATAGAAAATCTTGTTATCGACAACATATTCTATAGAAAATCCTGTTATCGAAAATAATTCTTATAGAATATCCTGCTATCGACAATATTTTATAAAGAAAATCTTGTTATCGACTATATTTTCTATAGAAGGTCTTGTTATCGACTATATTTTCTATAGAAGGTCTTTTTATCGGCATTATTTTTATAGAAAATCCTGTTATCGACAATATTTTCTATTAAAAATCCTGTTATCGACATTATTTTCAAGAGAAAATCCTGTTATCGACATTATTTTCTATAGAATATCCTGTTATCGACAATATTTTCTATAGAAAATCCTATTATCGACAATTTTTTTCCGAGAAAATATATATTTATTCATATTCCAACCCAAAAACTCCCTACAAACAAACCTGTAGCACGATAACAGTTACTCCAAATACTGCAACAGTTACTACGACAAAAACAGGTCAAAAGGTAAAATAAAAAAACTATTAAAATTCATATTCCAAATATGGCCGGCTAATGCTATTTTTTGGAGGTCAATAATCTTTAATAAGAAATGCCCTAATCCGCATAAATAAAACCACCATCGATGCTGATTCATCATCGTTGATCTGGAAAACACCAAGTCCATCGTGATTGCTGCTGCAAATCATTTTTTGAATTCAAATCAATAATGTATTCCAGTTTGTCAGCTATTTTTTGAATCTATTTCACGTGCATTTTTGTCTGCTAACTCGCCACCAATGATTTTTAAGTTTTAATTGATAAAATTGGTTGAAGTTTTTTCTTTTTGGCAAAATTTTATGGACGCACAGCATCTAACTCTCCCTCGCTGTATATCTGTCTGTCTGTGTCACACTCTTGGACTGTGTCGCCAAAAAAAGAAAACCGGATTTTTTCAGGGGCACACAACACAAACTGGACGACGGCAAAGAAAATAAGAAAAAACAATGTAAACAAAAATACCTCGGACTTCCATAATGTAAACCGCTTCATTTGAGCCATTAAATTCGACAAACAACAACAACAAACAACGACAACAGACAAAAACTAAACCTACTTATCGGATTTTTCGATTTTTGTTCGTGGTTACGGTGCTTGTGTGTTTGATGGAATATTGGAGAGTTTAATGAATGATTGCTCGTTAGGGTTGTCATGGAAGGAAGGAGGAAATGGAAAAAATATCCAAAAATAATGCCAGAAATTAATTATAATTAATTTCTACAGAAAATCTTGTTATCGACACTTTTTCTATAGAAAGTATTGTTATTAAACAATATTTTCTATAGATAATGTTGTTATCGACAATATTTTCTATAGATAATCTTGTTATCGACAATATTTTCTATATATAATCTTGTTATCGACAATATTTTCTATGGAGAATTTTGTTATCGACATTATTTTATAAAGCAAACATTGTTATCGATAATACTTTCTTCAAAAAATCTTGTTATCGGTAATAATCTTTTTATAGAAAATCTTGTTATCAACAATATTTTCTATAGAAAATCTCGTTATCGACAATAGTTTCTATAGAAAATCTCGTTATCGACAATATTTTCTATAGAAAATCTTGTTATCGCCACTGTTTTCAACAGAAAATCTTGTTATCGACAATATTTTCTATAGAAAATCTTGTTATCGACAACATTTTTTTTAGAAAATCTTGTTATCGACAACATTTTCTTTAGAAAATCTTGTTATTGACAATTTTTTCTATAGAAAATCTTGTTATCGAAAATATTTTTTTAGAAAATCTAGTTATCGAAAATGTTTTCTTTAGAAAATTTTGTTATCGACAATATTTCCTTTAGAAAATCTGGTTATCGAAAATATTTTCTTTAGAAAACCTTGTTATCGAAAATATTTTCTTTAGAAAACCTTGTTATCGACAATATTTTCTTTCGAAAATCTTGTTATCGTCAATATTTTCTATGGAAAATCTTGTTATTGACAATGTTTTCTATGGAAAATTTTGTTATCGACATAGAAAATGTCGCTATCGATAATATTTTTTATAGAATCCCCTGTTATCGACAATATTTTCTATTAAAAATCTTGTTATCACCAATGTTTTCTATAGGAAACCGTGTTATCGATAATATTTTATGTGGAAAATCTTGTTATTGACAATATTTTCTATAAAAAATCTTGTTATCAATAGTAAATTCTACAGAAAATCTTGTTATCGAAAATATATTCTGCAGAAAAATTTTGCTATCGTTAATATTTTTTATGGAATTTTTTTAAAGTCTTGTTATCGTTAATAATTTTTTATGGAAAATCATGTTATCAGTAATATTTTACCCCCGAAAAACATTAGTCGCTTTCTAGAACTGGCATCCCTATAATGGTACGCATGCACTAAAGTAATTCGACTAACCTTTTGATCAGCATCCACTTATTTTAATGTCAACATATCCCATCAGCATGGAGGGCTCATCAATGGAAGGAAAAGACATAAAAGTACATGGCAATATGGAAGCAGGTTTAGTTTTTTTCCAGATCGCCATAACGAAGGTTTCAACCCAAAAAAAAAAAGAAACGTAAAATTATTTAAAAATTTAGCAAATTGCAATAGTAAAGTGTTAAACCTACAAAAAAAAGTTATAAATAAAAATAATTAAAAAACAATGAATCTAATAGTGAGTAACAAATGAAGTGATAATTAAAAGGAATTATAAAAACAAAATTATTTTTCGAAAATTTCCTTAGAAATGCTGTCTTGGTGTGTTACTTGTGTTGTTGGGCTGCCTTTCCGTGTCCTGTGGCAAATTAAAACTGGTGGCCTTTAAGGGACCCCATGGCGGATTTTTGGGAGTGAAATACCGCAAACCTAAGCTGTTGGGTTTCAAACATCACGGCTTTGGCGGTGGTTTTGGTCATGGCTTGGGACATGGCTTCGGCCATGGATTTGGTCATGGACTTGGCGGTTTCGGCGGTGGTTATCACACATCGTTCCATAGCTCTGGTGGATTTGGCGGTTGGCTGGGAAGATGAATTGACTCCGAATTTAATTTTATTGTTTATTTAATTATTTTGTCTTCGTTGATTTTAGTTATATTTATTTGAAAGTACAATATTTTATAGTTTTAGTGTTCATATTTTCATTAAATGCAGAGAACAGTCGATTGTAATGGTGTAGAGAATGTTGAAAATTATTCTATTTAAAATAATTTTAATATAAAGGACATCTTTATCATCGACTGTATTCGGGTCTAGATCCATTGTTAAATTATACATATCAAGTTTAAATAAAGTAAATAATTAATTCAAAATTAATAAAAATAACTTTTAATAATTAAGGAAAATTTTCACAAAAAATGTGGAACGCTTCACGATTTTGCGTGTCATCCTTGCGCAGGGGCCATGCTAATCTTCTCTGTATCGTTCCAATTTTAGTATATGTTCTGCCGAAGCAAGAACGAAGTTCGGTGTTTTAAGAAACTATTTGTACGTACGTTTAAACGAAAGCGCATATGAGAATTATAAAATGCCTCTTAGTCGTCTAGTGTTGGCTTATCACACATTGGAAACGTTGAACTCAAGCATTTTCAAGGGTTGTTTTCTTCAGGTAGCAATGGTAAGGGGATCTACACAGGGCAGATGTGTGTGTGTGTGTTTATTTTTGTGGACATGTATTAAACGTTTACGTATTTTATGTAAAAATCTTACATCGTACGAATAGCTATTTTGGCAGCAACGTCTACAACGGGGATGTAGCTCAGATGGTAGAGCGCTCGCTTAGCATGTGAGAGGTACGGGGATCGATGCCCCGCATCTCCAGAAGGTAATTTTTTTCTAAGATTTAGCGTAAAAACGAAGACTACCAGTCTTCTGTTATTGTTTTTATTAAATTATTTTATTTTCAATTTTTATTTCACATTGAAAAAAAAAAAACAGAAAAACATATTGAAACAACACAAAAAGGTCAACGGGCTCAACCGGGATTTGAACCCGGGACCTCTCGCACCCAAAGCGAGAATCATACCCCTAGACCATTGAGCCTCATAACGGTACTTTGTCCGTTCACATACAGCAGCAATGTGGTCGGCGTGCATAAACAAATCACATTTCCATTCACAATAACAGAAACAAAATAGATGGCAATAATGTGAGTCAC